TGACGATGATGATGTTGATGATGATGATGATGATAATGATGATGATGATGATGATGATGATGATGATGATGATGTCCATGTGTCGGTGGTGAAAGTGATTGTGCTGATGATGGCAGCAGTGGTGGCGATTAGCGACGCTGATGAGAGTGATGGGCAAGTGCGCGCGCAGACATGCAATAATTACGACCACCTTTTCTATTAACAGACATGTGGTCTCTCAGAGGTTCTCCATATGCCTTCTTGGGTTGCTTCACAAGCCACTGGTATTGGCAGGGTATCCATGCGTGCGGCTTGCAGCGCGCGCATGCGTGTTCCGCACGATACCATGTGAGACTGATTCCCGCCCTGGGCGCATGCTGGCTCCACGCGGATGCACTGCGTGGTGAGATGAGGATGCGATTTTCGGACGAGGTTGGCACAGTGCCGTTTTTAATACATGCTCCGCGTGCGGATCATGTATTAAACGCAGGGATTTAGTATTAAAGACAACGATGAGTTCATGCATAAATGTTTCCATAGATCAATCATGTATTAAAATCCTGTATGTTTTTTTATCCCATGTAGTAAAAACTGCCCTGTAGAACCAGACTGTGTCACCGTGATGTCTGCAAGTGCGCGCAGGCGGGACACCTGTTATATGTTTGATCACAGACGCATCAGGTGTTTGGGCATTGGTGGCGAAGTGCCTCCAACACCACCGCGCTTTGCCTGACGTCGGCATGTGCGAGCGCGTGTGGATGCTGTTGACCTGTTCCCCAGCATCCTGTGGTGTTTGATCCCGTTTTGAATCCGCTGCGCCCCACATCCCACACTCCCTCCTACTACTCCCCCTGCTCCCTGCCTCCTCCTCCCCCTGCTCCATCCCTCCCCCCTGCCTCGTCGCCAGTGGCTGCTCATCGCGGGCTCCACCGGTCGCCAAGCCGTGGCGGAACATGGCATCGATGCGTCAGGGTCGGTGGGTGTGATTTTTTGCCACTGATGACAATGGGGAGGGGAGGCGAAGCTGGGTGGTGGACGTATGGTGAAAGGATAGCGGCGTATGCCGCTGCAGGACATGGATCCCCGAAGCAAGGAGATTGTGCCTGCCTGCTGCGTTAATTATTTGATTGCCGTTTGAGTTTGGTTGTTTATGTTCGTTGTTGAATAGTTACGCTTTTGGCCTCGGTTCTTCGCTGGGTCGTTGTCGTTCCGCCGTGTGTCTTCTGTGGCCCTTGCTGGTTCGTTTGTTCGGGCCGTCGTTCGGTCCCCGGGCGCCTCTGCGCCGAGTGTATGGGAGTTGGCGCTTAAGTCGAACCCACGTCCAAATAAAAGCCTCGACGTTATCTTCACCATCATTCTCACACGCTTCGTGGCCCCGTAGAGAGCGCCACCGAGGGCCCCAGTGAAAGTGTTGGCATGGTGCCACGGCGCCTATTTGTGTACACCCGTGGCGCGCTTCGTGCCCCCATCGGGAGCTCCATTGAAGGTTCCAGTGGGGGGATCGCACAGCACCACCGCACTCATGTCGGCACACCCCTCACACGCTTCGTGGCCCCATGGGGTGTTCCACCGAAGGTCCCAGTGGGAGAGTTCGTTGGGCGCCACCGCACTGATTTCGGCACACACATCACTCGTTTTACGGCCCCACAGGGAGCTCCACCGAAATTCCAGGGGAGGGTTCGCATGGCGCCACCGCGCCCATGTCGGCACATCCCTCACACGCTGCATGGCCCCTTTGGGAGCTCCACCGAAGGCCCCATTGGGAAGGTTCGCTTGGCGGCACCGCATTGATTTCGGCACACCCTTTACAAGCTTCATGACCCCATCGTGAGTTCCACCGAAGACGTCAGCGGGAGGGTTCGCATGGCGCCACCCCACCCTTGTCAGCACACCCCTCACACGCTTCGTGGCTCCATGACGAGCTCCAACGAAGGTCCTAGTGGAAGAGTTCGCATGGCGCCGCCGCGCCTACTTATGCATACCCCTCACACGCTTCGTGCTCCCATAAGATGATCCACTGGAGTTCTTAGTGGGAGAGTTCGCGTGGCGCCACCGCGGCCCATGTCTGCATGCCCCTCACACGCTTCATGGCCCCATAGGTAGCGCCGCCGCGCCCATTTCGACACACCCCTCACGCGCTTCGTGGCCCCATAGGGAGCACCACCGAAGGCCCCAGTGGGACGGTTCGCATAGTGCCAGTGCGCCTATTGTTGCACACCCCTCACACGCTTCGTGGCCCAATAGGGTGCTCCACCGAAGCTCTCAGTGGGAGGGATCGCTTGGCGCCACCGCGCCCATATCAGCACACCACTCACACGCTTCATGGCCCCATAGGGAGCTCCACCGAAGGCCCCAGTGGGAGCGTTCGCATAGTACCACCGCAATGATTTCTGCACCAACGCCCCTATTTGTTCACAACCCTCAAACGCTTCGTGGTCCCATAGGTTGCTCCAACAGAGGCCCCAGTGGGGGGGTTCGCGTGGCGCCACCGCGCCAGTTCCGGCACTCCCCTCACGCGTTTCGTGGCATCCTTTTTGTGGCGCGTTGCCTATGAGGGGACAGCCGCATCCGACGCCATTCGCGTTTAGCTTGCCCCCTCCTCGCTTTCATGTTTCTTGTGAAACTCGCAGCTGCAAATGATCGGGTCCCTCGGCAGGCTGATTTCTGCAATGGGCTATTGGCTATGATGATCCCATGCGCGCACTCGTTTATCAAGCTGAGTTTGATGAACGAGCGCGCGCATGGGGTAAGGGGGGGAGTCGATACCGACCTTCGTGGGATGGCATGGTTGAATCTGGAAAACATGAGCGGCAAGGCAGACACGTCTGCAACCTGCAGTTCGCAAAGGGGGCGGTTCGCCCCGGACGCTGGGGGGCGATAGTCGAAGATCGGGGCTCAATAGACGGGGGTCAAACCAAATGGGGGTCAGCCAGAGCGCCAGATCTTGCAGCAGCCTGCAGAGCCAGGGGCGCATTGATCTGGGCTTGGGCGCACGATCCTGCAGGATCCTGCAGGATCTTGCAGGGCCTGCCTGACCCAGGTCTGGATTGACCCGGGTCAGAAGATCCCCGAGGAGAAGAAAAGACGCCATAAACATCACTTTTTGGCGTTCCGCGCGGATGCTTTGGATCCGCGCAGGGGCCCCCCCCTGGCGACGCCTCCGGCGCCGCCCCTGGCGCGCTCCGCGCGCCAGGGGGGTGGGTCCAGCGCAGATCCAAGAAATCCGCGCGGAGCGCCAAAGGTTTGTGTTTATGGCGTTTTTCCTTCCTCTAGATAGAGTCTGTCTGAAAGGAACATCGAGCGTTTTTCTTCTTCTGGCGTGTTTCCTTCCTTCTAGAGAGAGCCTATCTGAAAGGAACATCGAGCGCTTCTCTTCGTCTTCTTCTTCTTCTTCTTCTTCTTCTTCTTCTTCTTCTTCTTCGTCTTCTTCTTATTATTATTCTTCTTCTTGTATCATAGATCGTTTCTGGCGTGTTTCCCTTCTTCTAGAGTCTATCCGAGAGGAGCATCGACCCGGCGGAAGCCGTGCTGCGCAGCCCGCGCTCCGCCCTCGAGGCGCCAGCGCCAGCGCACGGGGCGCCCACGCCGCGGCAGCCGGCGCCCGCCCGCCAGAGCCCGGAGCGCACGGCCAGCGCGAGGAGCCGGCCCGCGAGGCCCCCGCCAGGCGCAACTCCTGGGAGGAGGCGGCCCCCACGAGGTGCCCACACGAGGTGCCCACACGAGGTGCCCACGAGGTGGATCAGGAGGGGACAAAAGCACACACACAGACGCAAGGAATCGTCGATTCCCCCGGAAAAGATGGGGAAAAATATGGGAAGTGGGGGGGGGGAAGACGAAGTCCTAGCAAGTATGGGAAAATATGGGGGGATCCTGTGATCTGTGTGTATTTCTTTGTGTGTCCCAGGGCCCCTGTACACACGAGATGCCCACGAGGTGCCCACACGAGGTGCCCACACGAGGTGCCCACGAGGTGGAGAAGCCGGCCCACACGAGGTGTCCGCGGGCGCCCGCCAGGCAAGAACCCAGAGAACCTTGTCAACAAGAGGCGCCCGCCGTGTGCAAATTCGAAACACCCAGCCACCTCCATGCTTCTAGGCTTATGTCGGGCGTGTCCCCCTACAGGGGGATTTTCGACGAGAAATAAAAAATACCCCCAAAATACCCAAAAAAGGTTAAAAAGATACTCGAAAAATAGTCCCCTGACTATTTTTGGATTCTTTCTTGTTTATTTTTGGGGTATTTTCTATTTCTCGTCGAAAATCCCCCTGTAGGGGACAGGCCCGACTTGATTCTAGGCCTCCCCAGACGGGGTCGGGGTACAGTCAACGCGCCTTGTAAGGACGCGCGCCTTCACCTAGGGTACCCTTGTGTCCTTGCCTCTGCGGCCCGTCCTTTCCCGTCTTCACTGGTCGCCCGCCGCCCAAAAAATCCCAATTTCGGCTTCCAAGGGTCTTGCGTCTTTGCCACCCGTCCTTAATACACGTGTTGACTGTAGATGGGGTCGGAGGATCGGCGATGCATCGCCGATGCGGCCCGATGTGGAGCCCGATTTGTTTCACTTCGACGTCGCCGATGCATCGCCGACGTCGACGGTGCCTCGTTGGTGCATCATCGATACATCGCCGATATATCGATGATGCGTCACGATCCTCCGACCATGTCTACCCCGCGTCTAGGAGGCCCCTAACACTGGCAAGGATTATTGAGTGCAAGCAGAGCTTGGCGAAGATGTTCAATCCCCGCACATCGATCCTCGAAGCCCGAATTTCCTCCTCATCAGGAGAGGGAGGCGTCCTTCTCGTCCTGACCTTAAGTCGGGCATGTCCCTCTAGGGGAGGAATATCCAAGAATAGTTTTAAAATTGTCTGGCAACGATTTGTCATGCTCTTTTGACTATTTTTCATGTGTTTTGAATTGCTGCTTTCTTACAAAATGTAGGAGGACATGCCCGACCTACTTCTCGTCCTGATCCCCCGCAGGCTCCAGAGAGCCGACGGGGGAGTGGTAGACGCCGCGCCGAGGCTCGATCCCTGAGCGGCATGATCGCCGCGCGCTGCATCATGGGCGAGGCCGGTTGCGACAAGGACTGCCAAGGGAGCAGGGCGTTCGAGGATCGAGGCTTTTGGATCGAAGGTGTTGGATGTTTGTGCAATGTGTTGGGCCTCTGGAGACCCTTTCCGCTGCCACTGGGGGGTTCTCATCCAAATTCGGTGCAGAACCCAACCTGAAGTGGTCCTGGGGCCGATTTCGATTCTGAGATGAGGAGGAGGAGAAGGAGGAGGAAGAGGAGGGGGAGGAGGTGGGTGGAGGACAAAGAATGGAGGAAGCAAGGAACATATTACCCCAGTGCGACCCTATCTAGAAGTTTGAGCCCCTAGGAAAGCACCATTAGTTGCTATGCTATGCTTTGCCATGCTATGCTGCGCTATGCTATGCTATGACATGCTATGCTGCTCCATGCTATGCTATGCTAAGCTCTGCTATGTCATGCTGCGCTGTGCTAAGCTATGCTATGCTATGCTATGCTACACTAAGCTGCACTATGCTATGCTATGCTATGCTATGCTATGCTATGCTATGCTATGCTATGCTGCGCTATGCTATGCTATGCTATGCTATGCTATGATATGCTGCGTTATGCTCTGCTATGCTATGCTATGAATGGCTATGGTACGCTATGTTATGCTATGCTAATGCAGCGCTGCGCTATGCTAAGCTAAGCTAAGCTAAGCTAACCCTCTAGGCAGAGTCTATGTAGGGAATTACACCCATGATAATGCTATGCTCTGCTATGCTATGCTTTGTCATGCTGCGGTGTGCTATGCTGTGCTGCGCTGCGCTATGCTATGCTATGCTGCGCTATGCTATGCTATGCTGGGCTATGCTATGATATGATATGCTGCGCTATGCTATGCTACGCTATGATATGCTATGCTGTGCTCTGCTATGCTAAAGCTCAGCGGAGCTGAGATGAAGGTAAGCTAAGCTAAGATAAGCTAAGGTGAGATAAGCAACGCTAAGCTAAGGGGACGTAACTGGGGGAACCGCGGGGCGGATACTGGGGGAACCACCCGGGGCGCTTTCCATTGCCCGGCCCCTTTAAGCCCAGAGAGTAAGAATCTTTCTAGGCAGAGCCTAGGCAGGGAAAAACAGGAGGCAGGAAACAGGAAAGTCGGAGGACGAGGGGCGGACGGAGGAGGAAGGAGGACTGAGGGTATTCCAGCGCTGGCCCGGTGGGACCGAACTTTTAAACAGTCGCCGTAGCCTCTTTTTGAGTTGCGCGGTGTCCTCAAGTCTCCCTGAGGGCACGTGTGGCTACTCCCCCAGGCACTCTTCAAGAAGTCCGTGTACGACCGCGACGCCATGGCTCCGGCGCACCGCAGGACGGGCCGGGCCGCACCCGTCGTAGGGCGGAGATCCGATTCGTCTTCGTCGCGAACAGTTCCCGTCGTGAGAAAACAACACGGCGAGAGGTGATTCGCTATTTGGAGGTTTTTGGATGCCTTTGCCAGGCCCTGGGACAGTCAAACAGCGACGACTCTGGCACAACAACAGGGCCTTGGTGGATGGGGCCTAGACTCTGGGAAGTGGGGGGGAAGACAAAAACCCAGAAAATATCGGAAAATATGGGGGATCCTTTTATTTGTGTGTATCTATTGCGAAGGCCTTACGGCCGGTGCCGCCGACCCTGGAGGACGTGCAGTACTTGCGGGGGGGGCGTCGTATCTGAGTGGCGCCCCCCCCCGGGACCCCCCCCCGGGGGGTCCCCCTACCCCCCCCCCCCCCTCCCGGCGGGGGAGGGATCAAAGGGAAGGGGCTTCCCTTCGACTCAAATACGACGTTGCTGAAGTTCATTTGGGCTGGCGCGCTTGAGCAGGGGCCCCTGCTGGGAAAGAGGACGGGAGTGGCGACGGGCCCACGGAGAGGGAGGCGCAAGGAAGGGGGACGACAGAGACGACGACCAACGAACAAGGGGGATGACGTCTCGAACGGAAAAGCCCCTCACACACGCCGACAGGGTCGGCGGATTTGTGTGTCCCAGGGCCCCTTCATAGACCTCCGAGCGTCCACGTTGTGTTTCGGAGGGGAGGCGGGGCGGGCCCCGTCGCCACGGGCCGCACTCGCTCTGAAGTCAGCCGGCGTCGTCGAGAGCTGCGGGAAGGGCCGCGGGGGGCGACTTCCGGAGCCGGAGGGGCAGCAGGATGGAGGACAGAGGACGGAGGCCGTCTTCCTTCTTCCTCCGCGTCCCCCTCCCCCCCCCTTGCCTCCTCGCGTTCCTCCTCTTCCTTCTCGTTTTCCTTCTCGGCCGGATCGTTGCGGCCAACGCCGCCCGGGATGGCGAAGGCTTCTCGCACACGCCCCCTCGCCCTCGTCCCGCCCAGTCATCTCTCCTCCCTTCCCCCCTCCATCCAAGGCGACGCGTTCCCCACCAATCGACCCCTCGCAGTAATCAAGGCGACACGGTCGACTGCACGACCAACGCAGCATTTGACAGAGACCCCAACGCAACCAGCAGCAGCGACGACGCCGACAGCAACGCACCCAAGCAATACGCGACAGGCCAGCACAGCGAGAGCAAAGACAGCAACGATGATGAGGACACGACGGAGCCATGGGCCGACTACATCCAGCGAGCACGCTGCGCGCAGAGCAGCTCATCAGAGTGAGGGGGCCGAGCGGTCATTAAGTGTCCCTGAGTGCTTGAATGAAGTGGGCTTCTGCGGTGCGGATTGTTGTTGTTGGTGGCGGTGGTGGTGTTGCTGTTGTTGTTGATGATGTTGTTGTCGTTGTTGTTGTCGTTGTTGTTGCTGTTGGTGGTGTTGTGTAGTTTTCATTTCTAAAGCATAAGTTGTGTTGATCCCGCCCTCCTCTCACCATTGTATGAGCTCAATGTATGTGCTTTTCCTGGGGTTCGCACACTGTTTTTTACAAGGGTCAGTGTGGGGTTACCAAACTGTGCCCCTGGCCCCCGGCTTACAACTACAACAACAACAACAACAACAACAACAACAACAACAACAACAATAACAACAACAACAACAACAACAACAACAACAACAACAGCAACGGCTCCCGCTTGATTCTTCCTCGCACTTTATTCCAAAATCGCGTTCTCGCGCGGGACATGCTCACAATGTATGCAGAAGTCGCCCTCTCGCGTGGGACTTCCTCGCAATCGATTCAGGCGCCGCGCCCGCGACACTCAGGAATCACGCTCTCGCTGTGAGTTTCTCATGACGTATTTGGGAATCGCGCTATCGCTCGAGAGCTCGAGATTTCTTCGCGATTCATGCAGGACGCACGCTTCAGCAACCCGCCTGCTCGACCTGGCCGCCTGGGCCCGCCTTCCCGACTCACCCGATAGGGTCAGCCCACCCGATCTGCTCGTCTGGTTCTGCCACGTCTTTTCTGCTCCTAGCCCCCCTGTTGCCGTTCTCTTTCGTGCTCCATCCTCCTCCCTCCCCCCTTTTTCCATTCCTTCCATCCGTCCACCCTTCCCCTGCCTTAGAGACTGCACGACAACACGTTGCAGGTAAGAAAGATATCCCCCAAGGGGGCACGATCGAAGACGATGAGGGCGGGTATCGAGGGTTTGAGATAGACGTGTTGGATGGCACGCGAGCAGATCAGGGCGCACAGTCTCAAACTGACTGTTGCTGGTGTTGTTGCTGTTGTTGTTGCTGGTGTTTTTGGAATTAGTGTTGGTGATGTTGGCGTTGTTGGTGTTGTTAGTGGTGGTGCTGTTGTTGATGAACTTTCGTTTTCTAAAGAATAACTGGTGTTGATCTCCCCTCCCCGATAACCATTGTGTTGTTCAGCTAAAGTGTTTCTCCTGGGGCCCGCACCCTTTCTTTTCCAAGGGAAAGCTGGGCGTCACCTAACTGAGCCCGGGGCCCCTGGTTTACAACAACAACGGCTGCCGCCTGATATTTCCTCGATAGTTTCCCAAATCGCGCTCTGGCGCGGGACTTCCTCACAAAGTAAACAGGAATCGGGCTCTCGCGTGGGACTTCCTCGCAATTGATTCAGACGCCGCGTTCTCGACATTCAGGAATCACGCTCTCGCTTTACATTTCCTCACGATATACTTGGGAAACGTGCTCTCGCTCGAGGCCTCTTCGCGGTTCTTACAGGACGCACGCTTCAGCAACCCGTCTGCTCGACCTGGCCGCCTGGGCCCGTCTTCCCGACCCGCCCGATAGGGTCTGCCCGCCCGATCTGCCCGTCTGGTTCTGCCACGTGGTTTCTGCTCCTAGCCCCCTCCTGCTTTTCTGTATCTCTCTCTCTCTCTCTCTTTCTCTCTCTCTCTCTCTCTTTCTCTCTCGTGCTCCCCCCCCCCCCCCTCCCCCGCGCCGCATCATCCTCCCTCCCCCCGAGCCCCTTCCTTCCATCCGTCCTCTCTTTCCCTGCCTTAGGGGCTGCACGAAATACACGTTGAGGATAAAAACGATATACCCCTAAGGGGGTACGATCGGACGCGAAGAGGGCGAGCATCGAGACGCGAGCAGATATGAGCGAACAGCATTAAAATGAGTGTTGTTGTTGGTGGTGCTGCTGCTGTTCAATTCTCATTTCTGAAATATAAATGCTGTCGCCCCCCCCTCCCCGATAACCTTTGCATTATGCAACTAACTTCTTCCGGGTCTCGCACCCTGTTCTTTACAACGGAAAGCGAAGTGTCACCAAATTGCGCCCTTGGCCCCCGGCTTACAAGAACACGAAAACAACAACGGTTCCCGCCTGATTCTTCTTCATAACGTATTCCCAAATTTCGGTCTGCACGGGATGTCCTCACAATGTATGCAGAAGGCGCGCTCTCGCGTGGGACTCCCTTGCAAGTTATTTAGGCGCCGCGCCTTCGACACTCAGGAATCACGCACTCGCTTTGACAAATCTCATTGTTTCCTTGAGTCTTGAGAATCCCACTATCGCTCGAGACCCCCTTGCGATTCATGCAGGATGCACGCTTCAGCAACCCGCCTGCTCGACCTGGCCGCCGGGGCCCGCCTCATTGACTCGCCTGTTAGGGTCTACCCGCCCGATCTGCCCGTCTGATTCTGCCACATGTTTTCTGCTCCTAGCCCCCCTCCTGCTACTCATTCTCTCTCTCCCTCTCTCTCTCTCACACTTTCCCACTCTCTCACTATCTCACTATCTCATGCTCCATCCTCCTCCCTCCCCCTTGTCCCTTTCTTCCATCAGTCCTGTTTTCCCCTGCCGTAGGGGCTGCATGAAATACACGCCGCAGGTAAGAAAAGATCTACCCCCAAAGGGGTACGATCGAAGACGACGAGGGAGGGTATCGAGGGTTTGGGATACACGTGCTGAAAGGCACGCGAGCAGATAAGAGCGAACAGTATTAAAATGAGTGCTGCTGGTGTTGCATTCTCAGTCCTAGACAACAAGGGTTGTTGATCCCCCCCTTTCGGTACGCATTGTGTTTGTTCAATTACTTGGCATCGCTCGGACGTGTGCATTTTTCCTTCGGCGAGGATCATCGAGGAGCATCCTCGATCATTTGGCAAAAAAACACGCACGAAACCGCAAAAAACACAGGGAATGGACGTCCGAGCGATGGCGAGATTAAAGTGCTCCTTCCAGGGCTCGCACCCTGCCTGTTACAAGGGACAGGGAAGGGTCGCCAAATTGTGCCCTCGGCCTCCAGTTTACAACAACAACAACGGTTCCCACGTTATCCGTCCTCGCACGTGATTGCCAAATCGCGCTCTCGCGCGGGATTTCCTCAATTTATATCGGAGTCGCGCTCTCGCGCGGGACTTCCTCGCAACTTATTCAGACGCCGCGCCCTCGACACTCAGGAACCACGCTCTCGCTGTGAATGTCCTCACGATATACTTGGGAATCGTGCTGTCGCTCGAGACCTCCTCGCGAGTCATGCAGGACGCACGCTTCAGCAACCCGCCTGCTCAACCTGGCCGCCTGGGTCCGCCTTCCCGACTCGCCCGATAGGGTCTACCCGCCCGATCTGTCCGTCTGGTTCTGCCACGTGTTTTCTGGTCCTAGCCCCTCTCCTGCTATTGTCTCTCGTGTTCCATCCTCATCCCTCCCCCTTGTTCCTTCCATCTGTCCTCTCTTCCCCTGCATTGGGGGCTGCACGAAATGCACATTGCAGATAAGAAAGATATGCCCCATGGGAGTTCGATCGGAGGCGGGTATCGAGAGTTGCGGACATACGTGTTGAATGGCACGCGAGCAGATAAGAGCAAGCAGTAACAAAATGGTGTTTGGTGTGGTTGCTGTTGGTGGTGTTGTAAGTGTTGTTGTTGCTACTCTTGTTGGTGGTGTTGGTGCTGGTTGTGGTGTTGTTGCTGCTGGTTGTGTTGCTATTGCTGTTGTTGTTGGTGGTGGTGGAGGTGGTTGTTGTTGTGTGTTGTTTGTTGCGTGTTGATTGTTGTTTGTTGAGAGTTGGTATTTGTTTGTTGTTTGGTGGTTGCCGTTTGTTGTTTGCTGTTTGGTGTGTGTGTTGCTTGTTGCGTGTTGCTTGATGTTTGTTGTTTATTGTTTGTTGTTTGTTGTCGTCGTCCCGCTCGCGACCCGGCCCGCGACCCACCCGCGACCCACCCGCGACCCACCCGCAACCCACCCGCGACCCAGCCCGCGACCCGCCCGCGACTCTCACGCGACCCACCCGGGACCCACCCGGCGCCCGCCCCCTCATTCTTATCCGCAATTGCGGGGTGATATATACAGCATCACCACGTGGCAGAATGGGAGGCGATTCGCAGATAGAGATCTTGGCGCATGGTGTCGTTGGATGCAAATCACGAGACCGCCAGGTGGACGTGGTGTGCGCTCCACCAGCAACCGGGAGAGAATCTATTCCAGCGCCGGTAACGACATCACCACGTTCCTTCAACAACGCAAGCCCGACTTGCATCCAACGCCCACACCAACCAATGCAAAACAGCCGAAAGACCTCGCCTGGGTCCGTTGAGCTCAAGACATCTCAACCTGGCCGACACTCGAGCGCCAGTACATCGACACATCATGACATCGATATCCACAACCAGGAATTCCTCCTCATCCTCTTCCTCCTCCGCTTTTCCCCTCCGTCGTCACGTGTTTGTTACGCGTCTCGCAGTTCCAATACATTGGCTGTGCGGGTCTCATACGCATCAGATCCAAGAGGCCATGGCCTCCCACACCTGGCTTCTTAGGTATACCGGGACACGTGTCCGTTGTGGTGGTTCGTTCGTTCTTTGTTTCTTCCTCCCTCCCTCCCTCCTACGCCTTAAGCTGCACTGGTGAGCCGAGTGAGTTTTAGAAGGCGGGCAGTGGCAGCACCTCACGAAAGGGGCGCAGCGAGAACTGGAACCCAAAGCCTGGAGCCAGACGCCACCAGCTGCACGGGGAGAAGCAGCGCGCGCGAAGAGGACGAGGAAACGAGCGCCGATGCCCTTCCTCCCAGGCCCTCTTCCGCCTCCTCCTCCTCTTCCTCCGCCTCCTCCTCCTCCTCCTCCTCCTCCTCCTCCTCCTCCTCCTCTGCCCTCTCCTCCTGGATCGTCTCCTCCTAGGTCCACGGCGCGGGCAGTGGCCGCGGGCACGGTTGCAGTTCAGCGGCCCCTGGGAGCAGAAGCGGGAGCCAGGCGGCCGCAGGTCCAGCGCGCGGTCGAGGGCAGAGCTGTGGGAGGCGAGGGTGGAGCCAGAGGCCGGCAGCCACGTCGCAGGCAGCACGCAGGTGTGAGGAGAGGCGGGCAGGTGCAGCACAATCCGACGGGCGCAGAGAGACTTGCACAACACAGCGACAGCTCGGCGTCACCAGTTGCACTGGATAGCAGCGTGCGCGAGAACGCAGGTCTGTGGCCGCAGGCTCCGACGCAGGTCAGCGGCCCCTGCCACCTCCCCCGGGAAACGGACCCCCCCCAGAGACCACCGATCTAGGCTTCCCAGATTGGGTCCGAGTAGATGGGGTCGGAGGATCGCGCCGCATCGCCGGCGATGCATCGGCGACGTCGGCGTAGAGAAAATCGGGCTCCACATCAAGCTGCATCGCCGATGCATCGGCGATACCGCGCGATCCTCCGACCCCATCTACTCGGACCCCACCTGGGAGGCCTCTACACCCAGGAGGCTCCCCAGACACGGCCACAACACGTTCGAACCTTCCACGGTCCTCGGTCCTCCTTCCTCGCACTCCCGGGGGGCGTGGTCGCGTGGCACCGACTGGCTCACGGCGGCCCCGTGCCCCTCTGGCCAGGGCAGTCGAGACGGCGCAGGACGTGCAGGCTGCGGGCTGTGGCACGCCGAGCACGCGCGCCTATTCGGTCAAGGCTCAGGCGCGGGTCCGGGCGGGCTCGCCGCGAGGGGCTGGTTCTGAGGGAGATGCTCCGTGTGAGACCGGGGGGTCGGACGGGGCTAGGACGAGGACAGATCCGTTCCAGAGCGTTCAATGCTTTCAGAGCGTTCCAGAACGCTCTGAGAAGGCCGCGGCGCCTGGGACGTCCTGCAGAGCCGCTGGGTCTCAGAGATTCTCGATTTTGTCTTCACCCGATGTTATCCTCACCCTGGTTTCGTATCAGGGGGGCGAACAAAAAAGAATACAACCAGGATGCTGAAATAAGGAACGGTTTAAGTTCTGCCTTGGGCTCGGTGTTTCTTGCGTCCTTCCGTTTTTGTTCCTCTAGACCTCCTGGTGCGTCCAGGTTTTTGGGGTGCCAAAACAGGGGCTTCATTCCTTAGCTACCGTTCCTTATTGCAGCAGCTTGACTGTACAGTGAGGATTCGCATCACGAAGGCGGATGTTTTTCCTAACCATCCTGTGGTGTTGGGTCTTCGTTTTGAGAGACAGTCCCCGCGTCTCCTCCTCCTCCTCCTCCTCCTCCTCCTCCTCCTCCTCCTCCTCCTCCCCCTCCTCCTCCTCCGCCTCCTCCTCCTCCTCCTCTCCTCTCCTCTCCTCTCCTGTCCTGTCCTATCCTCTCCTCCTCCCGCTCCTCCCTCCTCCCGTCACCCCCCTCACTTTGGCACACCCCTCTCACTTTTCGTGGCCCCACAGGAGGCTCCACCGAAGGCCCCAGTGGCATGGTTCGCATGCCGCTCCCCCCCCCCTCCACTTTGGCACACCCGTCACAGACTTCGTGCCCCAATAAGGAGGAACTCCACCGAAGGCCCCAATGGCATGGTTCGCATGCCTCCCCCTCCACCTTGGCACACCCCTCACACGTGTCGCGGCCGCACAGGGAGTTCCGCCGAAGGCCCCAGTGGCATGGTGCGCATGCCGCCCCCCCTCCACTTTGGCACACCCGTCACACGTTTCGCGGCCCCACAGGGAGCTCCACCGAACCTCAATGGCATGGTTCGCATGCCGCCCCCCTCCCACTCTGGCACACCCCTCACATGTTTTGCGGGCCCACAGGGAGCTCCACCAAAGTCCCCACTGGCATGTTTCGCATGCTCCCCCCCCCCTTTGGCACACCCCTCTCACGTTTCGTGGCCCCATGGGGAGCGTCACCGAAGGCCCCAGTGGCATGGTTCGCATGCTGCCCCCCGCTTCACTTTGGCACACCCTCACACGCTTCCTGGACCCGTAGGGAGCTCCACCGAAGGCCCTCATGGCATGTTTGGCATGCCCCCCCCCCCTCTATTGTGGTACACCCCTCACACGCTTCGTGGCCTCACAGGGAGCTCCGCCGAAGACTCCATTGACATGGTTCGCATGCCGCCCCCCCCTCCACTTGCACGCCCCTCGCACACTTCGTGGCCCCATAGGGAGCTCCACCGAAGGCCCCAGCGGCATGGCCCGCATGGCGGCCCCGCCCCATTACGACGCATCGTTCGCGCGCTTCGTGCCCATAGGGAGCTCCACCGAAGGCAGTTCTCACAACGGCGGTATTCACAACTGCATATGGTTGGGTTCTTCGGAAGGAGATTGTACAGGGTTTCTCGGGCGTCTTCGTTTCGTGCGCTGCGCGGCGACCCTTCTGCGGGCATCACGAATCTGCCGCAGACAAGGTGGTCTGGGCGTTCCCCCAGTTACTTCTCTCGCGCAGACTATCAGGGTAGGGTGTCTTGTGTGGGGAGGTTATTGTTGCGGACGCGTCCGCATCGGAAGGTGATTGGTAAGAACATCGCAGGGAGGAGTACGAAAACGAGCAGCAGCGATGAGAATGATGTGTTGCTCCGACGGGAAAACATAACGAGTCTGGAGGAGGGAGCGGGGGATGTAGGGCGAAGGGCCAGGAGAGGGGCATGAGCACCAGAAGCTGACAAAATAGAAGGAAACGGGCTGGAGATGAAGAAGGTAAAAAACAAGGAGAGGGAGGAGGAGGATGAGGAGGAGGAGAAGGAGGAGGAGGAGGATACACAGAGAAGGCCGAGGAGTACGATGATAGTAATCAGGCGTAGAGGATAATTTGAGGAGGAGGAGGCGGAGGAGGAGGAACTGATTGGGGAAAAAGGGCACGCAAACGGAGCGTTGGAACCATGCCCAGTGTGCACGCCATTGAACGATTTGTTCGCTCCAGGGCGTTCCTCAAAGCTCTCAGAGCGTTTCTGAGCGCTACGGAACCAGTCGCGTCGCCCGATACCTCCAGGCCCGCGCTGGCTGTCAGAGAATCCCGACGGATTCCCATCCGAATATGTCTTGAGCTTGCCTTCGTCTTGCCCTCCCCCTTCATCCTGGAGGGGAACATGCATGAACGCAAACTTTCAGATGTCCGCACGCCCTCCTGGCGGCGCCTCCGCCTCGGCCCCCAGCGAAGCGGAGCACGCCAGGGAAGGGGCTGCAGCGCCGCTTTTGAGAGATCGCGAGGTCCTCCGAAATCTGACTCTCGTGCAGACGATTGCTATTCCTCTGCCCCTCGCCCTTCCCTGCCTCCCACCTCCTGCAGTCCCCACCCCCGCCCTCTTTCTCTTCCACCGCTGCTGCCTCTGACCAGATGCCCTCCTCGTCGCGACGAGGGGGAGGAGGAGCGAGGAGGAGGAGGAGGAGGAGGAGGAGGAGGAGGAGGAGCGAGGAGGAGGAGGAGGAGAAGGAGGAGGAGGAGCGAGGAGGAGCGAGGAGGAGCGAGGAGGAGCGAGGAGGAGGAGGAGCGAGGAGGAGCGAGGAGGAGCGAGGAGGAGGAGGAGCGAGGAGCGAGGAGGAGCGAGGAGGAGGAGGAGGAGGAGGAGGAGGAGGAGCGAGGAGGAGGAGGAGGAGGAGGAGGAGCGAGGGAGGAGGAGGAGGAGGAGGAGGAGCGAGAGGAGCGAGGAGGAGGAGGAGGAGCGAGGAGGAGCGAGGAGGAGGAGAGGAGGAGCGAGGAGGAGCGAGGAGGAGGAGGAGCGAGGAGAAGCGAGGAGGAGGAGGAGGAGGAGGAGGAGGAGGAGGAGGAGCGAGGAGGAGGAGGAGCGAGGAGGAGCGAGGAGGAGCGAGGAGGAGGAGCGAGGAGGGAGCGAGGAGGAGGAGGAGCGAGGAGGAGCGATGAGAAGCGAGGAGGAGGAGGGAGGAGGAGCGAGGAGCGAGGAGGAGGAGCGAGGAGGAGGAGCGCGAGGAGGAGGAGGAGGAGCGAGGAGGAGAGGAGGAGCGAGGAGGAGGAGGAGGAGGAGAGGAGGAGCGAGGAGGAGGAGGAGGAGCGAGGAGGAGGAGGAGGAGGAGGAGGAGGAGGACACGGAAGGGGGGTGCCGGGGGAGGGGCGGGGCTTCCCCCGCCCGAGGTGCCCGGGAGGCGCTGAGAGAGGGGCCGGCGGCAGCGGCGGGTGCCAGGCGCACGGCGATGCCGCCTTGGCGCGGTGCGGGAGTTGCGTCTGTCCGCGGGTCTGATCATCATCATCATCAGCAGCAGCAGCATCAGCATCAGCATCAGCATCATCATCATCATCATCATCATCATCATCATCATCATCATCATCATCATCATCATCATCATCATCATCATCATCATCATCATCATCATCATCATCATCATCATCATCATCTGGCTCAAGCTGGGCCGCCGCGGCCCCGTCCACCTGGGCCGCCCGCGCCATCGCGTCCTCCTCCTCCTCTATCTTCCCTCACTCCCTCCGGGCGCGTCGGATGGCCCTGGCGCGCTGGGGCGCGCGAGGGCATGCGCTGGCCGCGCTCGCTGGGGCGGGCGCTGCTGGCGGCGGGATCGGCCAGGCGGCCTGGTGGGCCCTCCAGGCCGCCCAGGACCCGCGCGTTCGCGAAGCGGCAGCGGCGGCGGGCGCTGCGGCGGGCGCTGCGGGCGCAGCTGCGGCCTCCGCTGCGACCGAGGCGGCGGCCTCATGGATGGAGGAGTCCGGCGTCGGGGAGGCCCTATGCTTCCCCCGTTGGCAGACCTACGTCTGCGTCGCCATCGCCTTCGGCTTCATCGTCATCACCAACGTCATTGTGGCCTGCTGCTGTTGCGGCGTCGCGCCCCTCGGATTCATCGGGGGCCGGGCCTGGGCAGGCCGCAGCCCGCCGGCGCTGCGTGCCAGGGCCGCCTACCTCGCGGAGATCGCCGACTACGTCGAGAACGGGGGCCCGGCTGCGGTCGAAGAAGCCGCCAGGCGCTTCGCAGTCCCGCCGGCTGCTATTCGCTCTTGGCTGGTTCATTGGCGGGTGGCCCACCATGGGCCGCGCCAGTGAGCTGGGCAGTCGAGCGGGCGCCGCCCTCCTTGGGGGGGTGGGTGCGGGACCTGACGGAGGAGGGGGTCCACCCGCACCCCGGGCCGCCCGACTGGACGCGGCTCCAGGCCATCATCGGGGCCCGGCCCTCCATCGAGGCAGCATTCGACGCCTTGTGCGGCCCGCTTGATGCCCGCGCGGCCGGCGAGGGGGCTGCAAGAGGCGTCGGTGGGGAAGCGGGAGCTGCTGGAGGAGGCGTCTGTCCGCGGGTCTGATCATCATCATCAGCAGCAGCAGCATCAGCATCATCATCATCATCATCATCATCATCATCATCATCATCATCATCATCATCATCATCGTCATCAATCATGATCATCCCCATCATCAGCAGCATCATCATCATCGTCGTCATCTTCATCGTCGTCATCATCAGCAGCATCATCATCATCGTCATCATCATCAGCATCAACATCATCAGGTTCCGCTACACGACTGGTTCGGCGTTCCTCTTGGTCTTTCCTCCTCCACTCTGCCAGCCTCATCGATTGGTCCTCTGTTCCAGCTGTCCCTACCCCTCCTGCTCCTGAGTCTGTCTCTCCTGCGCCCGCTCCTTGCATCGCGCCTGTACTCGTATGCTTCCTCCTGCACGCTTCTACTATTCCTGCCCCCATCCCCAGTCATATCCGTACCACCCACCAAACCACCCCAACCCAACCCGAAGGCTCCAAGTTGCCCTCCGTTTTCAGTGGGGGGGGGCGTCGGGGAACATTGACAAAAACACATGTGGAACCCGTAACCCCCCCAGTGGGGGGGGCGTCGGGGAGCATTGAAAAAAAACACATGTGGAACCCGTCCCCCCCCCTCCAACCCGAAATTTGAGTCTTCGGGTTAGGTTGGGGTGGTCTGGTAGGCAGTCGTAATTCGCACTCCTGCAGGTCGGCCCCACAACCCGTCGTGTTTTCTTCATGTGGGGAGCACGGGTGGCTTTCGGAAGAGACTTGCGTCCGCTCGGGTGTCCTCTGCAATCGGTCCTCTCGGCCGTCGCATTGTCGTCTTCCTCCCCCCCACCTGCATGGTGGCACAATTCGCCTAACGTCTGCCCCGTTTCGCTTCCTTCGCCAGCGCAGTGACTCTGCCTATTAGCCGCCGACGCAAAAAGTCTTTTGCAGGTCATTAGCAACGCTCCCCTCGCCCCCCTTTTTCCGCGCCGCCACGTACCTTCCAACAGTACCTGGCATCGCTCGGATGTGTGCATTTTTCCTTCGACGCGGACCATCGAGGAGCATCCTTGATCAGTTGGCGAAAAAACACGCACGAAACCGAAAAAAAACACAGGGAATGGACGTCCGAGCGATGGCCAGCAGTAGGTTGGCGGCGCCGTGATAGGCAGATAGATTGGCAGCTGTTGTTGCGAGGTGTCAGAAGCGCGCGCGCCCTCCCCTCCTCCTGGGTCGGGCGCACATCTAATGTACATACACCTGCTGTAGGTTTGCTCACTGGACACCCTCACCATGATGCATTGCCCAGACCTCGACTCCACCTTTTCTTCCAAACGCAGTCCCGCGGATGGATGTCTGACGGAGCGTCTTCGTATGTACCGAGGGGTTGGGCGGGCTGCGACTACCCCCCCCCCTTTTCAGGAATCCGACATCCGGTCGGGGGGCGGGGTTCGGCTCCCCACCTCGACAGTGAAAGGTGGGGTGGGGGGCCCAGCAATCGGACAAACTCCAACCAACTAGAACACATTCCAATTGCTTTAGCACTACTTCCAACAAGTCTGATATCAATTCCAACCAACCTGGATGAGAAGCCTCAGCGAGGCGTCTTATACGCGTCTTCGCGAAGCGTCCTACATGAGTCTTATATGCGCGCCTCTGCGAGGCGTCTTACAGGCGTTTCTGCGAGGCGTCTCGCAGGCGTCTTACAGGCGCTTCTACAAGGCGTCTGACAGGCGCCTCTGCGAGGCGTCTTACAGTCGTCTGACAGGCGTCTCTGCGAGGCGTCTTGCAGTCGCATCCGCGGGGCGTCTCTGCGAGGCGTCTTACAGCCGCCTCTGCGAGGCGTCTGCGAGGCGTCTTTCAGGCGCCTCTGCGAGGCGTCGTACAGGCGTCTTACAAGCGCTTGCGCGAGGGGTCTCTGCGAGGCGTCTTACAGCCGCCCTTGCGAAGCGTCATATAGGCGTCTCTGCGAGGCGTTTTCCTGGCGTCCCCAGGCGTCTTACAATCGCTTCTGCGAGGCGTCTTACAGGCGCAGCTACGTGGCTCCCTATAGGCGTCCCTGCGATGCGTCTTACAGGCGCAGCTGCGAGGCGTCTTATAGGCGCTTCTGCGAGGCGTCTTACAGGCGCATCTGTGGGGCGTCTTACAGGTGCCTTTGCCGGGCCTCTGCGAGGCGTCTTACAGGTGTCCTTGCGAGGCTTCTTACGGGCGTCTCTGCGAGGCTTCCTAATTACAGGCGTTCCCGCGAGGCATCTTATAGGCGCGCCTTTGCGATGCGTCTAGCAGGCGCCTCTGCGCGGCGGTTTATGGGCGTCTCTGCGAAGCGTCTTACAGGCGGCTCTGCTGGGCGTCTGCGAGGCGTCTTACAGACGCCTCTGCAAGACGTCTTACAGGCGCCTCTGCAAGGCGTCTTACAGTCGCCTCTGCAGCGAGACGTCTGCGAGGCGCCTTTCAGGCGCTTCTGCTAGGCGCCTTACAGGCGCACATCTCGCAACGCTGGGCTCCGAGGTGCCGCGTGCGAGATTCCTCTCGCTTCGCGGGGGGGGGCGCGCGCAGTACAGTCGTTGTGGGGGGCACCTGGGAGCCTCTCGGGGGCCATTCGGATGCCCCTTTGGGCCTTCCTGGTGGCGTCACTCCTCGGCTCACGCCGCACTTCCGGAGCGAGGGCTTGCCGGACCGCGTTTCCTGCACGGGCTTCTCATTCTTTCCACAAGCTCCTCATTCCTCGGCCTCTTCCTGGTTCCTCTGTTTTTTCTTTTCTCAGCCTCCTCCTCCTCCTCCTCCTCCTCCTCCTCCTCCTCCTCCTCCCCCTCCCCCTCCTCCTCCGCATTTACCTCGAACCTCAGCCGCTTCACCCTGATTCCTCGGGCTCCTCCGCATTCCAAAGCCTCCTCCTCCTCCTCCTCATTCCTCAGTCCTTTCCTCAGTCCTCAGCTCATCCCTTCATTCCTCAGCCTCCTCATTTCACGGGTTTCTTGGCCTCCTCATTTCACAGCTTCCTCTTTCCTCGGCCTCTACCTCATGCCCTGACCCAAGGATGAGCAGGCAGAGGATTCGGAGAGAGAGTGGGGGGGAATGTTGTGAGTGGTGCGGACGCCTGACCGTTGGCCACATCTTGGGTTGGGAAGTGTGCAATCTCTGGGCGCTGGCCACATCCCTGATTCCGAACGGTGCTCTCGCTCGAGCGTCGGCCACATGCACATGCTGAGACACTTTTGGTTCCCATGATTGGGTGTTGTCTGGGTTGTCCAGGGATGTTGTTTTCCTCCCCTCCATCATACAAGATATAGCGACTATTCATTAACACCGCCATCTACATCCACATCTTGAGTCCCATGGCATCGCAAACCGCTGTCGTACAAATTCCAACCTGGTCTGCCAGCTTCTGGAATAAATGTGTACACATAAGCCGGCCACTTGGCACTTGGGATATCTATCACTACATCGCCTCATATTTACAATCGTATAGTGAGGTTATTTGGCTGGTTGGAATAGTACCAGTTTGTGTTTCCGTGCTGGTTGGGAGAAGGTCAGTGGGTTTGGATGGGTCCCAGTTAGTTGGGAGTAAGGTTCTTCCCCCCCTCCCATCTGGGCAAACAACCGCAACGACGGCGACGGCGACGCCTGACGACGACGATGTCCCGCCCTTCCGCTCGACTGAACCGTCCACCCGTGGTCATCGTCGGCGTTGCCGCCGTCGGTTATTACATTGACCGTCTTGAAGTCGTCAACCCCATTGATAATGCAACCTCCAGCCCACCCACCAGCGACCTGCTGGCGCAAAAAGTAACTGGCCTGGCGACAACGACGATGACGATGACGCTGGTCATGTTGATGACGACGGTGGGGACGATGTCGACGATGGTGATGGTGATGAAGTTGATGGTGATGACAGCGGCGGGGCAACGATGACGTAGATGATGATGATGATGATGATGATGATGATGATGATGATGGTCATGATGGTCATGATCATGATCATGATCATGATCATGATCATGATGA